TCCCCAGAATGACACGCTAATGTCTGTTCGACGAGAAACCTCCATTTTACCCCACTCTGTATATGAACGTCTCGCCGTTGCCTGTGTGCACACGACGGCTGGACTTCGCCCTTCGTCTAGCAGGTTCTCTTGGCGACGGCGCATTGCCATGTCTTAGTGCACGAACGAATTCTCCCCTGTGACAAGACGGGCTGTGAAAATGTCATCAATTCCCGATATCGCGAGAGAAGGGGATTCTCCAACCGTTGGGACATTAAGTTGCATTCACTTCATGACAGGAACCCCTCAAGAACACGCTGGCGTCCGTCCACCGAAAAACCTCTGTTTCAATCCACTGGGCGCGTAAGTCGTCCTGCAGTTTTTCTATTGAAGAATACTGTCAGCAAATCAACCGTTTCCGTGGTACAAAGTGGATCAAAGTGCCAACTGATTTGTTGTCGTCCTAATGAGCCCGTTCAGATTTAAATTGTGCAGAAAAGAAAACACATTGGCAACCCGTACATGTTTTCAGTCCACAAACAAGCAAATCCCCTGCTTGATAACACTCGAATGTCACTATTGCATCGAAGGCACTCCTTGTGTTTAGGTACTGGAGAAGACTTGGCTAAGCAAGCGTTACGGCAAGTCCATGCACGCAGTGCGTTACGGCAATTCCATGCACGCAGTGCAATGGTATTTGTTCTATGCACAAAACCCACTGGACAACCGCTACTAATCACAACAAACTTGAACTCGAAATTTGGTAAATATGTTATGCACGCGTACTTTATTCGTGGCCACTTACGAGTAGTACCCCACCAAAAGACTCCAAATTTCAGGATACAAGACGAATGTAAAATCGCCCCCTACGACACGAACTGTTTAGCCCGTGGTTTATTGTACACAAAATCGCACATAAAACCCCTAGTAGCGTTCGGCTCTTTAAAACCTCAATTTTGCACCACTTTCTGCATTGACTTACCAAGGCAGGTTGTGCGTGCACGCGCGTCGAACGTGAACTCAATATGCTATCCCTTTGTTGACTACGCTTCACGTATCTCGCCCACGGTAAACACACGCCAGATAATCAGTCATTCTGACGGTACACAAAGCTAGCGCTGAGCCATTGGTTCTCAACACGTACATGGACACCCAACATTGGCCACAACGCGTTTCCGAATGCGAAAACGATCCGTGCCAACATAGCAGGCATATCACAGGTCAGCCCACACAATTACACTGTTTCCCTGGTTCCCGCGTGCTCACCTGCTTGTATGAAGTAATCTCCTTACCGGGGACGGCCGTCTGTAACTTATTGTGGTGTGTAACTGAGGCGCTGGCGGCTGGCTATACAGTGTCATGCACTGTACACTGAAAAGTCTCCGTACAGACTCGCTGTTGAATTACCACAATTCACGTTGAGTCTTAGGCACAATTTTGCTGCAGAAGAAAACAGCTAGGATGGCGTTCTGTGTGAACCCCGCATGAACTACTTTTCTCCACTTCTATTCACGTCCGCTAAGGATTATGACATTCCAGGTGTATGTGATGCATACATGTAGAAGCATGGTTTGCGTTCCTTCCTCCATCGTTGAAGCAACACGTTGAAGTGCAGTAACAGTTCCCGTGTAATAAAGAAAAATCCTGTTAGCAGCTTCATTTAAATTGAAATCATGTTGCACAGTTTTCACAAAAGTGAATCTGAAAATAACCTGACGCCTTGTTCAGCTGAGACTGGAACTTTGTGGAAGGTGAAAATGCAGACATTTTTAATAACACGTCACTGATTATGAGCCTGCTGCAAACTCGCTAAAAAATTGTAACAGCGCCCTCTCTTTCAAACTAAAGCGATGAAGACTTCGAGAGATTACACAGCCTCAGAATGTTGTTCTCGTACAATTATTGTGGACAACCAGAAAATCCAAAGCCATTGCTGCTATGGCGGGTGATACACACAAGCTATCATGCCTTTTCGGCCAATAGGGTGTCGTGATTTGCCAAAAGCATGCGCGTGTCAAGCTTAAAAAATGCGTAAAATGTCACCCCATGCGCAATGGTGCCACGCCTTCTCAGGATTTATAAATACCCTTTCAATCAGTGCATTTTCTCACATAAAGTCGGGGCCGAGTCTCATTGTGAACTCCAGGCCTAGGAATTCCCTCTCCCGTAACACAAACCCATTATTGCCCCAAAATGTTGGCCAAGTCTTTGAACATTTATCGGCCTTACCTTAAAAACGCACTCACGGGAACTACATGCATATATAATAAGTTTCCGCGCATTGTTTTGAACAGTGCATATTAAAGTGCAAGAGAATAGGCACGGTCAACCTGGGGCTGGAGAGATGAGTGACGATTCCGAAGTCATCCGATTTGCTTTCAAGGACCGTCTCCATAACCCATCTTTAATAATCATCAGTTCCTAAATTTTCACTCCACTGGCGCGGCAGGCCTTTACTATGTTGATACCGGGCTTACAGAGGGGATTTACATAATACTCAGTATTGCATTACAGAAACGTGATGCACTGTCGATGAAAGCCCATTAGTTGATCGGCACTGTTGTCATTCCTAACAGAGCACGGAGGACCTCGAAACATTTTCGTATAGTCAGGCAAAGAGATGCACTGAACTGAAATTACATGTATCTAGTTTTCTCTCGATCAGCTATGGGAGCAGTAAACATGGCATGTTATTCGGCCCGCGGTACGATGGGGCTGAAATTAAGAAGGGAAAATATCTCGAGATGTTTGTGGCAAAAAAAGCCTGCACGGGCGCACTGGTTCCGAGAATGGCGGGGTCAAGACAGCCGTCTCTCGGTGCAAGATTTGTTACTGCGAATCCTGAAAGAAGAGCGTCACCAAAAAAGGTGATCAATTTCGCAAATTGGCCTCCTGATCGCCCGGGAAAAACTAGCTCGGATTTCTCGTCGCATCCCGCATCCCACGATCTTAATGTGAGCCTCGCGTGTGGCTCGTTGGTCCACTCCTCACGTGTTTTTCAGATCATCAGCGAGGGCTTAAAAAAGTGATGATCATTGAAGTGCAGTGACTGTGGCGTTGTTTGTTTATACACGAGATGGGAACAAAATGTTAATGGATGTGACTGATTAGAGGGAGGAAATGCGAAACTTCATCATTTCCTTGACATAAATTTGAGTTTCGAGGACTCAGTTTCTCCGCTGGAACAAAACAAAATATGACTTTCATCATTGCATTATGTTTTCGAAACAGATTACAATTATAATCGTACTGTTATGAAAAACCTTCATTTTTACCCAAGGAAATATAACATATGAAAAACATTTTACTTTTATCAAATGTTTAATAAATCATACCCAATGATCACTCAGAAGACGACAAAAGTAATGCCAAAAATCCATCAATGTAGTGCACTGGGTAGTGCAAGTAATTAAGTCACTACCGAATCAGGATGAGACATTTGGGTGTCACAAAACAACACCAGGGGCGGTCGTTTCGATTTTCAAAATTACCTCACGAAATATAAAGCACAGGGGACTCGATTCACGACATGGGCGTCAAGTCGCAAGGAGGGGAAAAAATTAAATCACAAATGTGGGAAAACGAAAGGAAGAGAGATGAAAAGCGATCAGAATCACCCATTTTACTTGAAAAAAAATCTTTCAAAATTGACTAACTCCCACTGTTCATGGTTTATCACTTCTTAACTCATAAGTGCCACCCCCCTCAAAAAAATCTCACCCTCCCGGAAAAACGTGGTTTGCCCCCCCCCCATCCCCGGAAAAAAATCTTGTGTGATGCCTATGCATCACGGGCCAAAATAGTTTTGTTAAACTGGAGACAAAAACGTTCAAGTATTGCTGCTTATACATGTAGATGTACAATGCATGGAAAATCTGTGTCCACTTCTTCCAATCAGTTCAATCAGCGTTTCTTTATTTTCATGATTTTTTCATAAAAATAGTATCCACTCGTTTATCTCATCCTGAACCACTGATGTATTGCCAGGCCCCCTCATTTAATCCTCTCTCGCAAAGGTTCTTACCCAATCCCCCAAAACATCGTTTATTTTGACGTTTCTCTTCTCATAAACATAAACACAGCAGACCCGATGAAATTTCACGTCCGCAAGGGGATAGACTTGTTCTAGTCACCCGGTTGCGGCTAACTGGGCGATGTAATCATTGCCGGACTAAACCTCCAACTACTTACGTTGCGTACGTTAGGCGTCACAGAAAGCCATACAACGACAAACGAAGGGTATAATCTTAGTGTGATTGTGAGAAAGAAAAGCCGTGTCATTTATCGAAAACATCGTAAACATCGTGAAGCATTGGCGTGATGCAGTTTATAAAATGTATTGTCAAGAAGCACCTTGAAAGAAACAAAGTGTGTGATTTGCCATGAAGATTTGATTTTCAAAGTGAGCACAAGTAGAATGAGATCTTTTGAAATATTCTGTAATGTAAAAATCTAGAGTTTAAAAAGTTTTTAACTGTTGTAGTGGAGTGGGCACGAGTAGTGCAATTTTATTTATATAATAATCTCTTTCCGGAAAAAGAAAGGAGAGCCCCAGGTCTTGTCAGTGCTAATTCCCCCCCCCCCAAAAAAAAAATTGTGACCGTTTTTGAGACTGCAAAGTACGGGGAATATTACATACTTTTTGCTCACTGAAACAACAGAAACAGATTTTAAGAGAGCAGCGACTGGTGCCAGTCTACCTGGCAGAACCGGCACAATCTGCCCAAGTATTTTGAAGTTTGTTTGCAGTGCTTCATTCTAATATCCCCCAAAGCGCGTGAGTTGCTGTGGTTTGCGCAAATGATAGACACCAAAGTGGCCTCTGTCAGGCAGATCTTTTTTTTAGCACACAACTGTCTGGGGACACCCATGACATGTACATTCCTATGCTTCGTTTTATTGAGACCAGACTAGTCTTCACGCCTCGTGGGAGCTTCCCTTGTTTAAGTGTTGGACTTCCCTTTGGAAAAACAAACCTCCATTACAGCCTTTATTCAAGTCGAGTTTACCCAACGTGTTGTGTGAAACATAATTTCGCTGTCAGGCGACTGCGCAGCTAGGGTCCCATAAATCTGGGGCAATAGAGCGCCGCCTCGGCCCGTGCGTCATCGCATCGTCAGCGATCACGCAGTGTCCCGGACGTGTTCCTGCAGATCGTGAGAAACCTTGACGCGGTGAGGTTGGATGCGGGTCTCAAATCGTCCGAGCTCTCGGGAGAAGGAATCACTGAAGCCCGTAAAGTGAGTATTGTAGAGAAATGCGGGGGGTGTGAGAGTTACTTTGAGGCCAAGGCCTTTTTTTTTAGCGAACTGGCTGAAAGAACATAAAGTATCATCAAAGATGTTTTTTTTTCTAAAATAAGTTTCTCTGATGTTGTCATTGTTATCTCAGATTTCAGACAGCCTGCCTTTTGTGTGTTGCTCTTTCTTATGGCCTCACTGAAATATTTTCAATTATCCCAACAAACTCGTGTAAACCTGAAGGAGGCAATACGATCATGAGGAGGCAATATAGGACTCCATCTGTGGCTTCCCCCATCATCGACTACTCCAACACTGATGCAAAATGATGATTAATTAACAGTTCGAAATTTTTGTATGTTAACTTGTGTTGAACTGTGTAGTTATATGTCATTTTTCTCTGCGTCGAAACTTCTGTTACAAAGCTTTCCGTAAAAATCATCCAATTACCATGGCAACCGCGACAGCAGCCTCCACTACGGCCCACATTCTGGGGTTCCTCCTCGGTTCAACTGTAACCCCCACCGAGATCACGTCAGCTGGGCCAGAGGCCTATATGGCTTCCACTAACGCAACCGTTTCGGTGGCTTCGACCCCGGCCGAGATCGAGAGCACGGCCGCGGTCCAGCAGGCCACAGCTGGGCGGGCCGCCTGGCTCATCCCCGTCATCTTCGGCCTGATCACGGTGTGCGGCGTGGTGGGCAACTCGCTGGTCATGTACGTGATCGTGCGCCACGGCCACATGAAGACGGTCACCAACTACTACATCGTCAACCTGGCCGTGACTGACATCTCCTTCCTGCTCTGCTGCGCTCCGTTCACCGCTACGCTCTTCGTGTCCCGCGACTGGCTCTTCGGCGCCTTCATGTGCAAGTTTGTCTTCTACATGATGCAGGTGAGTTTCAGGGGCAAATTCAAGATTTCCATAACGTGATGCCCACGAATGATTTCCAGAGATTATAATCGTGCAGCCGATGCAATGTCACTCATACATTTCTTTTAGTATTTTTGCTTTCTGAATCGATTGCGTGCTTTGTTACAGTGTTTCGAAAAGCTACCTCTGTAGGTTCAAATAAAACTATGAAAAACGAGCCTGTTTTTTCAGTAACAATGAAATGTAGAAGTTCTAAAAGGAAATGGATATGGAATGATTTTTTTCTAGCTGCATAAAACATGATATGTGTTCATTTTTACGTGCCGAAGCGGTTGTCTGTTATGTCACGTGACAAACGTCGGGCAACAGGTTTTCAAAATGGCGGGCAAAGTGACTATCGACATTCTATTGGTTCATTGAAAATTAGTCTGAAAACGAATCCTTCAAATTGATAGTTTTAGATAGACTTCATTTTCTCGTCCAATTTTCCAGGTTGGTTGGCCGCTTTATAATTCAAATCCCGATGGCGCCGGAGCGGCCACTGTTTGATCTGCTCCGGGCTGAATTTAGCCCTCTCTGTGCTTTTTACGTGTACGAAGTCACAGCAATATGTGAAAATCAGATTGAATTTGACGTAAACGGTCTTGTATCCGGTGATAAACATACAGTACAGAGACAGGATTCCACACTAGTTTGTTACGTGAATAATACACCCTTTAGTGTCCATTTGCAATTAATACAAGATAAAAGACGATGTAAGGCCGTGTCCGAAATGGGCTTCCAGAGCTACGGCTAGGTCTATTGTCTACGTATCTCCACGCATTTCCATTGGAGCGAAGACCTAGCTCTAGACAAGAGATTTGGATGCAGCCTAAGTTGTGCTGACGATGAAGAGTGGCCTCCAATTTTTGAATCTCCTTTTTATTTCCATCACGCCGTGTCTCCCGATTAAAAAAACCTTCTGTCAAGTATTCGGCACACTGCTCTAATTTCCGCTTATAGAGCGGTCAGATGTAGTACTTAAACGTTGTATTTCCCTTTTTTTAATTTATCAAGAGAGCACCATGACTTGAATGCTTTTGGTACCTACGCTTGGAATCGTAACAAATCATGAGAGGTCCCTAATGAAAATCCGAAAATTTTACCTCCGTAAAAATACCACAGAATAGGAAGAGGGTGATCAGAAATCTCCCCCGGGGCCTTTATTTTCCAAGCCGATGATTGCTTCTGACCCAAAACGGCGCGCCGTCAGATTCGTATTTCTCCGGCACGAGGAAAAAAAAACGACTCGACCGTCGCGGGAAAGACGTTTTACGGTGGTGCCCTTTCGTCAGATTTTTTTTTCTTCCCCAAGTGCATGTTGCGCGCGGGACTCGTCCGGTCTTATCCGGTGTACCGGGCGTCTCACCTCCGTCGTCTCCAATTTGTCGTCACACGTTTTTTTGTTTTTTGTTTTTTTTTCCTTTTTTTTTTTTTCTTCTTCTTCTTCCTCAGCGGTTTCGATCACCTAAATTCAGAACGTTGCTCTTGGGAATGCTACGCTTTCCGTTGATTGATTCTGGCTGTTGTTGAGCAAGGAATGAGGCTCGTAAAAATCAATGGGCAGAAATTAATGTCGGACGGTGGAGAGTCGAGTCCCTCTCTCCCAACTTTTACGATTCTCGAAGCACTTTTTCCCCAACAAACATCGACAGTAAATGAACATTCACAGAACTTACGGACTGAAACTTCAGGTTTCAAATTAAGAGCAGTTTCCCTTACACTTTCAATAAAATTTTTTATTAAACAAGACTTTTCGGTAATTACTGTACACCACGCCAGGTCTTCGCATTTTTTAACTTACGCTTAGAACTTGCAAATTCGCGGAAATGTACAATGTCCAATGCAAATTATTATTGTTGTATGAAATCGCTTCCAAGAAAACCTGTATTATGTGCAGGCTCTTCTGTAGTTATTGGAAAGAACATTAATTTTGGGAGAGATAGGATTTCCTTTTCAAATGAGATGAACACATAATTCCTCCGAAGGAAGTTTTTATACTGTTTTAGACAGCCTGTTTTCATACCTTTTTGGTAATATCTTTAGTTTTTCAGGATTTTTCTTCTATTTATATGTATAAGATTTAAAAGAAATCAATTTTCAATCGATCAACTTATCAATCGCAAATCAATCGATCATCGATTAATCAATCAATGTCAATTAAACAACTAATTAATTAATCAATCAAACCACGATATTTAGGAGAAAACGTAGCCTTATTTTGTCATCAATCCACAGGTGACGGGACAATGCACTTGCCTGACGCTGACGGCCATGAGCATTGACCGCTACCAGGCCATAGTCCATCCAATCAGATCGCTCAAATCACGCACCACCAAGGTCGCCTGTATCGTCAACGCCTGCATCTGGATCGGTAAGAAATACACGCTAACCCAGGCTATATAGGGTAGGGCAGTGTTATCCAATGCAGACGTATCGTTTCACCACTTAACCTCGTGACTTTCAGGATTCCCTGTCAAATATCGCCGGGATATTGCTGTTGGGAAAATTGAGTATTGCATTTCCGAAAACTCCCAATAATGTCCAGTTTTCCATAATGCCTTCTTTAAAATAATTTTTAAAATGTATCTTTTAATCCCTTCTTTTTGAGACTAACGGTGGCGTAAAACAAGTTACCATCCAATTATTCCAATCGAACTCCAAATACTTTCCAAATGAAACACAACATTAATAACACTCCGTCACAAGGTGAAGAGAGTGTACACTTAGCATACTCAATGCTTTCTTATCAAGAGTCATCGGAATAAAAGTACTTTAAGCCTACTGAGGTCCTTCCTTCACGAAGTTACAGGGTTTTTTTCCGGCTTTTTGTCCACGCTGCTCAATTTCACAGGATCGTTCTTGATTTCGATCCCCGTGGCTGTCTACTTTAATCTGAACTTCGACGAGAGAGAAAACGCCTTGGTGTGCGTCGAGGTGTGGCCTGATCCCAAACTCATGTTCCCCGGCTACGCCGTCTTCAGCTTCATCCTCCTCTACGTCATCCCCATCTTCATCATCACCGTCTGCTACAGCATCATGCTCCGTAAGCTCTGGTCCCGCGTCTCGCCCGGCGAGCCCGACAACGCCGCTAATCTGCAGAACGCCCGTCAGAAGCGGCGGGTCACCCGCATGGTGCTGGTGGTGGTGCTGGTCTTCGCCGTCTGCTGGCTGCCCATCTACATCATCAACCTCTGGATGCGGCTGGATCCCAACTTCCCAAAGACGGACGCCACGTACATCTTCAAGATGGCCGCGCACACGCTGTCCTACGCCAACTCCTCCGCCAACCCCTTCGTCTACGCCTTCATGGGGGAGAACTACCGCCGGTGTTTCAAGAAGGCCTTCCCTATCTGCTTTACACAGAAGCGGCAGCGCCAACCCGCCGACATAAACACGACATCACGCGTTGATCAGATGGCAAATTTCACAGGCGCGACGTCTGCAGGTGGGGTGCGGACAATAGAAACAGTTGCTTTGGACTAAATCCACATGAAGTACATATAATGGTGTCAGAAGTGGGATAAAATTAAAGTGTGCATGTTTTCGTAATGGTGTAACCTTAGGCTTTCCTGTATGAGATACCGCTGATTCCTGGTAGGCACTTTTTACTTTGAAACTTATGTCGATTTCATGCTGCTAAAACCCGTTCAGTAAAACCAAAGATTGAAACATGTAACTAAAGTTTCAGGTGTGACAAGCAAGTTCATATGGCTGAACATGTTATTCAATATATTATTAAACTGCCATAACTAAATACGGGCGATTCACAATAGTCGCGCATCGTAATTGCCCAACGCGTTTTCCAACTCTCGGAGGCGCACTTTTGTGAAACGTCCGTATTCTTCACAAGACACAAAGACAACGGATCTCAACATACAAACGCTGTAATGCAAAAAAAAAATCGTTGTATTTCATTTTAAATTTATTCCTCCCAACCTCTGTCTATTACATTGCATTTTACATTATTGATCATTATACGACATTATACGCCAACATTCAACTTACGGACTATAGACGATAATCATTACAGAACTTTTCAACTTCTACGGTCAAAGACCTCGTTTCTGAATAAACTTGTCCGCCGGCTTCCTCTATTAAAATGTGATGGTTAACGCGTACACTCGCGACATGATCCAGTACCGGTATGTACATCATCAGTATTTCGGATTTTCGAAAAGTCACATGTTAATAATGAATGAATTATTCATTAGACAGCCATGCGCAGATAGTTTTAATGCTGATCCCCGCATGTGGTTTTTACATACATCATAAATAGAAACGAGATCAGTGACGGACTATGTCATGGTCATTAATTCCTGCTGGATTTGTTAACCCACCTCTGAAATAATAAGCGATTCCACAGGCGTAAGTCACTATAATTTCAGACCTTAACATTTTCAGGTGGCTTGATCAAGCTGGGATAGCATTTTGCAGGTACATGTAATAATCCTTGCCTCAAGAACGTTTCTGTTTTCTGGCACACTGACCCTGCCTAAAGTAAGCCACCCAAAAGTCTGTTGTCCCTGCTGGCCATCCAGTCATTTTATTCAGTTACTGAGTTGGAAGGGCCGCTCATTGTTGGCAGACCGCGTGGCGTTGTGGGGTCAAGCGTCACAGGCTGAAAATTCCCCATAACACCTTGGCATTGGTCCAAATTTCAGTGCTCAAGAATTAACCTTGGCATTGGTCCAAATTTCGGTTCTCAAGAATTAACCTTGGCATTGGTCCAAATTTCGGTTCTCAAGAATTAACCTTGGCATTGGTCCAAATTTCGGTTCTCAAGAATTAACGATTTGCCGCAACAGACATTGAGCCTTTTCACTCCTAACAACGCGACGTCACAGCCTGGACGACCAATGATCGGGCACTGAATGGCAAGCCGATCCAAACTGATGGAACAGCTGGTTAGAGGCTCAGGCAGTACCCCAAAGCCGTATAGCCATTAATGAAGCCACAGGGTAGACGGAAAAGGAAAACACGTAGAACGACGTGCGGCATAATGCTTACTGTGCTCATGAAGTGTACAGTACGTATTTCATGCGTCGTTCAACGTGTCCTCCTTTTCCGTTTACCGAGGCGACAGCTCTGTTGAGAGCAAAGATCGTATAGCGCTATACGATCTTTGGTTGAGAGTCAGTATTACCCTGCGTATTTGAAACAGGCCATGTCCTGGACAAACCTCTGGACCATCAGACACAAGATTCAGCCCCAGCTAGTATTGCAAGTTCCTCAAAAAAAGACCCCTTAAGTTTACAGCGCCGCCTATTGGTATCCGACGCCCATTAATCCTATCAGTAACTTGCTGTGACTGGATTGGCTATTCACAACTCCACACTGACCAATCAAAGAGCATGGCTTATTAAATGCTACAATTTCTCAATTACTTATCGCACACGTATAATATACAGGCGTTATTAAGTGTACAGTTGTGACAAGAAGGAAGCACGATACAGTTAAAATGTACACATTCATAGAAAAAATGTCAACTATTAATTTTGCGAGAAAAAACGGCTTCAACTGTGTTCAGAACTCTGCCGAAATAAATCCGCATTTATGAGTTCAATGGCAGCAGAAGCATCGTTTTTCCCAATCCACGGTACTTTAATGTTCATTAATATACGGCTATAATATAAAGAGTTCAGTAAACGCAAATACGGAACGGGAATGTGGAATGACAAGATTAGGACAGAACAGCTCCGGGACAAACAACAGGCTGGCTAAATACTGAACATTTCTTGCGATAATTACTTCTTTATAACCTCCCACGTCTCCAAGACAACAGTCGAGTTCAGAGCTATTTAAAACTATATTTTCTACGTGCAACAGGCAGGATCTCCAAGCCCAGCGGTAGTCAACGTGAACGAAATTCGGAAACAACATTTCATTTCTTCAAATTAAGCCAGAACTAAGAACAAAGCGTCTCATTGAAAAATGGGCTCAAATGACAGATGTCAAATTCCTTCTTTGGAGAACCTGAGGTAAACGCCAGATGCCACGCGACCTTTGACCTCAGTCAAGCTTAAAGCACACCTCTTGACCCCTTGACCAAATCATCAACGCCAAAACAAATAAAAAAATAATTAATTAGCTAGCACCCCAAAAAAAACTCTCTTGTTAAATGCGACACATGCCTTGCGACAACAAAACCCAAAACTGGATGTATCCATGGCCCAAAAATAACACAAAAAAACGAACGAAAATCATCAGCACTCAGGCTTTGCAATATTTTACAAACCTGAAAGTGGTATTCTTCACTTTTTGCGTCCCCCCCCAGCACAAAACATTTACTTAATTTTACAGAATTGCAATACGGGCATTTCACAAAAGTGGGCTACCAAGAGTTTGCAACGCGTTGGCCAATCACAATGCCTGAAATCTGCCGACCCTTTGCGCATTTGGAAAGGGGTCGACAGATTTCGCGTGTTGTGATTGGCCAATGTGTTGCAAACTCTTGGTGGTGCACTACTGTGAATCGCCCGTATTACAGAATGGGGCATTTGAAATTTTACACAGCAAAGTGTTGACTTGGTCGTAATGGCATAACCACAGCATCCAGTCTGTTGCAATGTGACAAATTTGTTAATATACACTAAACTAAACGCATTTAATTGCAATGATATGCAACAAAATTACACAACCCCAGAACCGAAGGCTGGTTATTGGTCGAACCTTACAGTAGCAAGCAAAGCATTTATGCATGCCTAGCTTGAGAAAGGACACAAAAAATGCAAAAACGAAGAACAGGGACATTTCAAGATTTTCTTATTAGTATACACGCATGTATGAATCCTCAATCAATGTTTACGCCAGGGCAAAGGAAAGGAAACGATTCCAGATTTTCAACGAATCCCAATGACAGCTTTGAGCTAAAATAAACCAAACAAAATAAGCACATACAGACGGTTGGTCAGATCTGGCCCTGGTGCATTCCTCGGGTCATCTGATCACACTCTTTAGTCTAATTTGTACTCTGAGTTTTGGAGGCATTAACTTTGTTTCAGCCTCAATTTTATTTTACAAACGAGGAAAAAACATGGATGTATTTCTCTTAATAAGAAAAATTATTGTTATACGGTAAAAGTGAACAAAAAGGAAATTGGAAATTCATACAGTGGGATTGAATTATTCCAAAAGAACAAATTCCAAGCCATTTCTTCTTAGTCTTTTCTGTCAAATGCACCGTTTTTAAATTAAAAATGTGGTCAGCAACCTTGAAATAAATATGCAAAGACGGGTATGGTCCTTAAATATCTTCAATGCACTAAAAATATCGTATTCTCATTCAGTTTTGAGCACAACGGACATGCAAATGTGTAAACCGATAATTTCTTTCCTGTAAATGCAGCAATGCTACTACAATACACTGTTATGTACACTATTCTATCACCTTATGTTTCCTAATGAGTCTGGTGCTGGACAGAGTCACTCATTAAAGTAGTGTTTGTGAACCTGAATTCCAGGAACCAGACCAATATGGCTACCATGGGGCTCACTATTGCTTCGTTAAAAAAAATGGTAAAATACGTAAGACTCATCAAAGTAAGTAAGCTATTCTAAATATAAACCCGAGCACAGAGCAAAACATGACACAAACATGGACACACATTCTTGAATGCTGACAGCATTGTGTCCTAGTATTTGCCTTCTAGGAGAACTGCACAAGTCTTGTTTTTTAAACATAATACTGTTTGCGGGAATCGAGAGGCAGTGAACCTGAGTGAGCCCAAAGAACTATTACTCAAAAATTCCAAGAGAAAGTAATTCTAACCAAGACGGCTGGCCTCCTTTTCCACACAGAAACAACATAGGTGGCTTCATCGACATGTGCTTCCTCTGAGACTGTTTGGGATGACTGAAAATGCTGCTTACACAACACCATTTCTTCGATTTCAAAAAAATCATTCACCAGAAAGCAATACACAAATCAATGACATAACGATTTGGGTCCTGACAAGAGTTTCCCAGTCTTCTTAATGCCACTCTTGGAACATGCGCACAGCACGGTGGCCTTTGACATCTGACATTTCTGTGAGAAAAAAAGAAAACTCTGGCCTCATCCCAATTCTGCCAACAGTGCATCCATGGAAACCGTAGGCAAGTGGCTGTGGCCATTCCCTACTGATGTGCCTGTCATTGCCAAGCTTTGCCAGAACACAGCGCCCTCAATCGAGTTTGCACACACCGTATACCAATGTTTACACTTAATGCTTTCACTGTACACATCACGTCAACTATCCTATTTTCTGTTGTATGTGGTTTTGCTGGGCCATCCCTACAGACAGGAAGGTTGTCAAGGGCACTGACCAAGTTTTGAGCACTTTTGTTAACATGTCGGGATTCATTCTTCCTTTCCAAAAGCAAGCCGTTATCATCTCAGAACAAGTTTGCCACACATTTTCCTCTTTCAACGGCCTGGTCGCCAATGCATTCCTTCCTGTGCAAGTTGCACATCCAAAAAAGCCATCTGTAGTCAAAACGTTTAATTTCATTCTGATCTTCGCCGCCAGCTTTGAGGAAAGTTGTTTGCAGCTTATAACGTACTTGCACTACTATTCAGCCCACACTGACAGCCAGGGTTCAGACTGGGTACCTGTGACGTGAATGGCAACTCCATAGCAATATCTGTGTTGACTGTTAGTCGGACCAGGCAAGGCTACAGCCTGCACACTGCTTTCATTAAAATGCACTTTCTCAATGATATTTCTTTGAAGCTTTCACAAAATTCATGAGAAGATACCCGGGCTGACTTGCAACGTGGATTCGGAAGTTTACAGTGATTGTCCTATCTACGCCAACCTTGATGTCAACTCTCTTAAATTCAAAGATCCACTGAATTCACCTGTCCACTGGATCCATCAATGTACTGGATCCACAAGTACCAAATGAAAAAACAGATCCACTGAATACAGAGACCCACTGAATCCACAAATCCAGCGGGACCATCTATCCACTGGATCTACTGAATCCACAGATTCACCGGATCCACAGATCCACTGATATATCTCTACTCTATGCCAGTATTTATAAACTGTGGCATCTACAAATTCTTGCTCCTCTAATTCCAGAATCCACAGATCCACTGACAGATTATGAAAGGTTCTGAAATTCCAGCCCACATGACTTTTGCAGTTCCTGGATTCTGCTCCAAATATTGTTGTTTGCAAAATCTTTTCTCCTCAGCCCTCTTAAAATAAACGGCACCATCGCCAAGAATCACTTGACAACTAACTGTCAGCGCCCCCTTCTCTACACCCCTCCACAGCATCAAGGTACGTAATGCAAGCAACTCCCCCTGGCAATTCTGCCTAAGCAGATGCTTCTCATGCTAACAGGCATTGTCACCGTCCATACAATCACCGCATGCCACCCGAACAGATTAAGCACAGAATTCAGCTGCTTAGCGATGTAGCACAAGAGAGAAAAAAAAACTGCTTGAAGGCTCAGTCAACTTGGCCCCACTTAACCACCAGATTACACCGTTTTTAATCGATCTGTTTTTTATGTTTTTCTTTTTGTTCTTACTGTTACCTTATACTAATACTTTTTCTATGAAGTCTAGGAACCGCTTAGCATACTGTTCTGGTTTCACTGTGGATATCTCAGCGCCAGCCTAAGAAATAAAACACACAGAATATAAATATTAAAGAGCAACAAGCATGATGATACATTAAATAGATTATGGGTGATTCAAGATAGTGAATCTCCAAGAGTTTGCAACGTGTTGACCAATCACAGTGCGTGACATCTATCAACCCTTTCTAAATGCGCATAGATAGATCCCAATACGACGCTTTGAGTGTCGACCTGCGCGTTTGAAAACGAGGCTGTATGTGTCAGCTTCAATTCTTAATACGATCAGACGATTGAAAGTAAGGAGTCAAGACACAAAATACATAAAGGTATGTTAAATTCAGACTTTTCAGGCTGAAAAGTTTTGTGGAAGAGTCTTTCAGGATGACTCAACACGTAAAATCAAAAGAAAAAATAACGACAATTGACCGCGAACTAACGTACCAGCGATGGCCATGTATCTTGTGCAGTGGGCGTGGTTTGAATTGAAGTGGCGTCACACTTACGAACCAGATACTCCATGTACTGTGTGGACTCCGCAGGCGCGCGCGACGAAATTAAACACAGAGAGCCTCGGTTTCGATGCAGATATGCGCGGACAGCGCTAATGTGAAATCCCTCTCTTGGGTCGACAAGTTTCACGCACTGTGACTGGTCAAAGGGTTGCAAATTCTTGGAGGTGCACTCTTGTGAAACGCCCGTATTGCCACAACAGATCAATTTGATGCAAAACTCTTTGCCCTTTTTCCCCAAGAGCTTATGAGCAAAAAAATTTGATCAGACTTGAACCCACCAAACTCTGCTCATTAACGCAGCTGTTTGCCCACTTCTGTGAAAAAGCACAACGTTCTCCCACCCGTTTGGACAAGTGCGACGAAAATTTTCCTCCTCTGGGAAGTTATTTTCGCATGTGGTGAAGTGAAAATGAATACCCCGGGAGGAGAAAAAGTGTGAAAAAAAAAGCATTTCCCACTCCCAGGGTAAGTTTTCAATAGCAATGTACTGTAATTAACTCCCCGAGTTTGTGACTCTGTCCTCATTCTGTGGGAGCCAGTTGGCATTTGAAATTCTACGCCTCCTACAGAGTTCTTGTCTCACCCCGTGCTTGACGGTTTTGGCCGCCTGCGCAGCCTTTTTCTTCGCTCCCCAGTGCGTCAGGATGTCTATGAGCCCCATGAAGTACACCTCATTCCTGGGAGCACCTGCGAGGGGAGGACGAAGAAGATAACGCATAATTACTGCAGCGGCCGGCGGAACCAGAAAGACGTTAGAGTTTTTCGGGCCAGGTTTAGGATCGGTGTTGTATTCGAGTCCATCACAAGTCCTTTCACGAGTCCCTTCACAAGTCCAGTCACAAGTCCCTTCACAAGGCTAGTCATAAGTAACAGGGTGAACAATGACAAAGGAATGCTTTTGTCGCAGCCCACTTGAATAGCTGGTGAATTGGCCGAAGACTGAATGACTTGTGATGGACTTGAACACAACACTGTTTAGGCTCATTTCAAGCAGCTCTCAGTGTTAATGCCCGGGGCTGTCTGGTCAGTGTGGCGGTTCCAGCGTCCTCTACAACTGGACTGGGCGATGACGTATGCCCGCTGAAGCTATCTACACGATCTTTGTTGCCCCTGAGCACACGCACATTATGATTTGGTACTGCGAGTTTTTATTCTTCAAAGTTTGACGATGAGAAAATTGATTATGGATAAACAACTCTTCAAGATTGGGGAACGTCTCATAATTTGGAACAGTCGGAACATTCCATTCGGAACGCCGTGTTCTCATTCTGGAACAGACAGCCGCTCCATTAGGAACACAGTATTCCAACTGGAGTGCTGCCTCAGCAAGGTCCGGGCACAAAGCGGATCCTTCCCACTGATGTGTGACGTTCTGATGGAAAGCTGGCGTTCCTGTGGAAATGGTCCAATGGAGGGAGAATGTTCCACACCCTGCTGGAAATATGGTTTCAGTTTGAACAGGCTGGCTGGTGGGTTATAGCCAGTCCATTCGATCCAAGTTAGCTGAACAACAGATGATGATGATGCTCCTCGATCAAGTTAGCCCCTGAATATTCTAAAATGTGGAGTCAAATGCGAAGTACCGCCCGGAAGAAGTGGCACTCATATAGTGGACTGCTTGAGACCAGCTCCCAACTCACCTTCCTCGCAGGGGAAGGCGTACACCTCCTGGCCCGTGTCAAACTCGTATTCGCCGCTGGACAGGTGCTGCTGCCTGGTCAAGGGGCCGGGGCTGTCGGGCGGCGTGAGGGCGCCCCCGCTGCCCGAGTCGTCCTCCTCCCCGTTCTCCTCGCTGTGGTTGGCCTTCTGCTCCGCCTCAAAGCGTTCCCGGTCGTGGATGCCCACCAGGAGGCTGTAGTCCATCAGCTTCAGCTCCGCAAGGAACTGCAAGAAGGCAGATGAAAAAGTTTGACACAGCCGAGTCGGTAAACACGTTCTGTACACATACCCTGCAGTGGTTTCCTACCTAAACTTTGCCCAGTCCTCCTGCCATCCAAATCGAGAATCAACACAGCTGTACTCTATCACATCCTCCACTAATTACCCAACCTAACCTCCAACCTCGACACCTCTCTCTCTCTGGTCATCCGGACCAAATTTATATATTTTTTCGTTTTTCTACTTCAACAACTCCAGCTTGTAATATCCGCCCACTCCGTGATTACACATCCATACTTCTTTCTCCTCCCATCCAAGTCATTCCAGACTCTACCATTCAGCTAGCAAACCTCACAACACCTACCACTTTTCTGTCTTGTCCTGATCAACACCAGTAACGTAGCTCTCCCAGACCTCATCCCAATTCATGCATCCCCCTGCCTTGACAGCACCCTCCTACTTCCCACTTTCTCAGTCCCTCAAACTTCCGAGGCTCACGGGGCATTTACTCTTCTGTCTCATTCTTATCAACACCAACACTTACGACTCTCCCACATCATGCCAACGTCACCGATCCTCGGACTTCTCACTTCAATACCTCAAGTTCTTCAACTTCCAAACCTCGCAATGTCTCCAGTTTTCTGCCCTGGTCCATTCAACACCAATACTGTAGCTCTCCCTAACCTCAGTCATCCCCAACCTTGATCCCCTCTCCCCAATTTAAAAATCTTCAAGCTTTTCCCATCATCCAATCCACACATACAACACGAATGCCCATCTGGGTAACTGGGCTCACACTTAAACCACCACAAAGCATGTTAAACCATTCACAGATTTACTGCATGCACATATCTCTGTTTCTCAATCCGCCTCCCAAAATCCATCCCCTGACTCCGCCCATCGATGTCCTACCTCCACGTCTCTCTTCAGCTTCGCCATCACTCTGTCCTTGGCCTCGGTGCCGATGTGGATCTTCTTGTTTTCGCTCAGGAAATCGTTGTCCTTATAGGTGGGTAACTCCTTGTCCTGTGCCGACAGAAATCAATTCATTTTATTCAAAATATTTCCTGGACAGCCAGGACAAGACACTTTCGGGGTCTGTATACCCCGAGTAACAACTTTTGTGGATCTGTGGTCCAGTCAAAGTTCAGAAGTGAGGGTGCTTACTATGTAGTAGCAACTCCAGGGCCACAACTGTGGAAACAAAATGGCGGATTTCCTGCACCAGTGCACACTGCGAACAGCCATTTTGGTTCCAAAGTCTGAAGTCGGTGCCCATACACGTTCCTCCAATATCCAATCAATATTGACTGGGGTTAGTCCGTACAGTGGATTGAGATCTGGATCCAGAGAGGGTCTAGTGTGCTATTGACCTACTGGTACAAGCCCTTGTCCGAGGAGTACACGGTAATACAAGAGCCTATTGTACATGTACATGTGTTTCACAAGCTGAGGTCCTGTCCACATTACTTTATCTATGGCTCGTAATTATGCAAGAGTTTAGGGTAATGGCTGTAGCCTGTTCCCATTGAGTTGCATGTCATTTCAAGTTGCAACTTTGATTTGGGTAAGACCCCAGATTGGAACCATCCACACTCATCCAGTCTAGTTTGACCATGTCAACTGACCATCCACTCAAGCTTTAATAACAAAACTTGTAAGTGCTCGGGAGAATTTGTGCTCCATATCAGTAAACATGGCATGGTCTCTTTTGGCTTAGCAAACTACTTCCTGTGCCTACAAGCGAACCAACTGACCCACCTTCTCCTTCTCGCTGGCTTGCCTGTCTATCGTGGACCCCTTCAGGTCGTACTTGGTGTGGACAGGCATTGTGGAACTGAAGATGCTTCTGAGGACCACCATGTAGGTCTCTGTGCCGTCCACGGTTAACCGGTACATGCCTAGATACTGTGGTAAGAGGGTGTCACCGTGGGACTCCACTATACTCTGAGGACATGAACGAAAGCACTAGGTCACTGCAAAGCCAAAATCAGACGTTCTCCAAGTCATCTGATACCTGCAAGGACAATGCACTTCTTGGGGGGGGGGTTTCCATTGTGAATTGAGGACGTGGAAAGAGAATGGGCCATCAATAAGTTGAAATTTTTCCCCATGACAGCATAACAAAATATGCTGTTATTTAACTGTAAGTCCTTGCTCTAAAGATGCTGTTGAAGTATTTATTTCTTGGAGACGTGAAGTTACGCTTGCCACGAACCTTGTGGTACTCGGGGAGGACGTTAAACATCAGCTCCACCTCCTCCCGGGTGATGGTCTTGACGAAGAATTTGCCGTCGTACGTTCGCATGAACTTGGAGCCGCTCTTGCCGGATGAGTCATCGTAGGTCGGCGCGGAAGACACGAAGGAGTTCTGCGCGCGCGCAGACGGAAAACGGAAGGGAAAAAAAACAGTACATGAAATAAATGCACTCTCTCCATGCTGATCCATATGCGAACTGTTAGCGTAACAATATAACCAGGTGCAAACAAGTGCAGCTTCTGGGGCTTGATTTTTGGGAACTCCAAAGATGGTCGCTTTTTAATTTAATGCGGCAGAAATCCTTTTTAAGAGTTCAAACAGTATCGAGCGATAGCCGAACCAACCATGGGTCAAAGATGTAGATGATTTTATTCAAATACCCCCAGTGGAAATCAAAAAGGAGGGCGCATGTAAAAATGGCCTGTGAGCGTCCTGACACAACAGCCTGACGTGATTAAAATTTCAAGTTTCCCATTCAGACTTCACTTAGAGCATAAAAAAAAAATTTATTTGGGCCCCTGAAGATGGCCCCTAGCGGAGTCCAGCCTTGGGTCTCGGAGCTGCACACGTACTATCCAGTCAACGCATTGGTGTTCCCCCTATACATGTATGACTACTGGGACCCCAGACCAGCTGATAAATATATGGATAATTAATCATTGTAACACCTTATCTTTTATCCCTACCGTGTGGATTTCATCGGTACCCGCGCCACTAAGTCTAGCAAGTCAAGGGCAAGATGACATGCATATTATGTATGAGGGGGTGGTGGTTGGAACCATTGCCTACATGTACATGTACGCCTTGAGGAAGGGGGGTCCACCAAACCAGCACGTTGTGCAAACGTACATACTATGCGGACGACTTTGATGGACTAGTTCTCAGGTGTCTTTTGGTTACAGTAGCTCCAGCAGTTTTCATGTGACGGAACGTGACGGGCAGAGACACTTCAGGAAGCATACCACATCCGTGGAGGCGCATGCATTTTCAAATCTGTGTATTTGTATCAACTGGCAGTTTCATGTACATGTACGCCGGAATGTTGAGAGACTGTGAAGGACAGCCCCTGTCTGCACCCACCCGTGTAAATTGAACGCTGATCGTCAAAAATCACCTGACTGAAAATCCCCTATTTGTTAAGAGCTATTTTACACTTTTTAACAGCGGCTCTCAAATGACTGCGCCCAGTTGGGAAATGCCGAAACTTATCCGCAAATCTGCCATGCGTGGGTAATGCAGGAGTCATACTGTGAATGCCCGCGGACAAAGGCTTCACACTCCCTGACACAGACACGTGAGCCTCTCTCTCAACCAGCAAATTGTATGACAGAGAGAGAGAGAGAGAAATTTTCCCTTTGATGTTCGCGAGGTACATGTAATCTTCAGTGCATTATTCAGCTCCACGTTGAGAGAGGCCAATAAAAGCCCCACACTGTTGCTGCCGCTGCCGCGGCTATTTTTAGACCGAGGCTTCAGATTCATGCATCGCTGCTTGCCATTCTTTTTATGGATCCATTTCTAAAAATACCAGTTCCACTTTGGGGAAGGAAAAAAATTAGTCCATTTCAGACTGTGCACAACATTCTCCAAAAATACCTCTGGAGATGTGAAAACACCACGCTTGTTAGAGAGAGCACCACAAAGGGATTTTCAAACAAACTCTGTTTATTATTCTTAAAAAGGAAATGAGCAGAACTGTTGCCAAGCTCAACCTTTTGGGGATACGGCAGACCCAGTCAAAAGGTTTAAATCTAATACTTTGCATACAAGCTACACATAAATGTATTTCCTATTACTGAACATGAAAAAATTAAAGCAAATATATTGACACTTATGTTACTTTGTAGCTTTGAAAAGAATTAAACGGAGCATTTAAATTTGCTTAAATTTCAAATCAGGAAAAATTCAGCAGTGTCATGACTGTTTGCATGATGGATGATCAAGGGCCTCACGAGCCAAATTTCCTGTTTTTAAGCACATGTGTCACTTGTACAAGCAGGAAAAGAATGCACGTGCGGAAAAATTCAACTTCAAGTTGAAATGTAATAATTTACAGCCCAGATCACGATGCCTGCTCGTAACAGACTGTAGAAATGATGAAGACAACAACCCCGCATGCCGCGGCCGGCAAGGATTTATGTGCTTGGCCTGGTTTCTGATGATGAAAGGCGCGGACCGTGCAATGACGAGAGCAAATTACCGCAGCTGGACACGAGACCGTCAACCTGACCGCTGCTTTTTTTTCCTGCTTGGCTGAAAAATGGAACTGACGGAATGGAATTGCTCTCTGGGAAGGGAATTCAGGTTTAAAAAGCTGAAAATTCTTTGCGGCACTGGCTAATTTGAAGCGCATACAATGTACCTGAGCATACACTTCGTACCTTGCCACAGCTTTGCTCCAATAAACCACACAAATACTGCTTGACAGAAGCCAGTACATTGTATATGACAGTTTTAAATGACACCAAAATGCCAATTTTTAACATGCTAAGTTTTAATATAAGAATAGCACCAGTAACGTTCAGGATGTTCTTAAAATTGCTCATTCTTTTTCGCTGAAAAAAACATTCGGTCCGAACGCAAAGGTCCTTACAGCAGTCATATGAGGTTTACTGTATTTGTGTGCCATTTGATATCTCTGCACCAGTGGGCAACCTGTGTCCTACTGCAAGCCATCGGAGCCCAGCGGATGGCTGTGTACATGTACACGCATGTGTGTGGTTCCTTGGTAAATAGCACCTGTTTGTACAAGTAAATCTGTGCACATATGATCGTGCACATGAATATCGGGGACGGGACACAAGCTGATCTTATTCCCCCGACAATCTTGCCGAGATCTCGAGTCCTGGGTGCAGTTACAGGTGTATGTATTTCATAAATGGAGTTGAAAGCTTGCACACGTAATTTGCATTTTTTTAACGGAGAGCTGTCGTGTTTGGCGCAGCTGTTGTGTACATGTACGTGCACATTAACCATTTTTTCTTCAGTTTTTCCGTCTTAACGATGGTAAACTTTACCATACTGAAGGGTTACAGTACGTGTACATGAATGTCCAATTTATACAGCGCAGGTCTTCAATTACCGAGTGTTTATATTTAGGCCTACTGTAAATTGACACACACTTGAGCATGTTCAATCAGCAGTTTGACTAACTCTGATCGAATGCACATTAGTCGACAATGGTTGAACAGGTCTAGTGAACTACAATGTCGTGAATGTATTTGCGACCAGCCTATCGGGGTTGGTCACACTGTGGGTTGCCGTAAACCCTTTTTCACAGCATAGTGCAGAGAGGGCCAGTTATAAGGAAAATGCCAGAAAAACAGTATGTCACTAATAAACAACCATTTTCACTTTTACTTTTTGATATTTTGCCCTTCCTACGGCCCCTTCTTCTCCCTTTCAGCCTAATGACCTGACAACGACTAGGGTCCTTTGCACTTCAACTTCACTTCACACGCGTCAGGTACCCGGTACATGTACACTGTACGTCACGAACCAACCAGTTAACTAGTGGTCTCTGATCGAGCTTGTCCCTTATATTTACAGTATTTCGGAGCATACAGTGTGAAGACAGAAATTTTCTACATGGTACAGCCCGCCACCCAATCCCGGAAAACCCAGTGGTCAAGTACCTGAGACGTCTGCACCAGTGAGCAGGAAGTTGTGGGTTCTAATCCCAACCGAGTGAGCTTGAGATTTTTTGGGGGGCAAACCTCGGAACACTCTGAGCATGCAGTGTGAATACAGAGTACCCAAAAAGTAAATACGTCACATGCACATTACGTGTGAGTAAGAGGCATTGGCACGAGAAACAGCATGTGAACCGTGCGTGCGCTCGCTCCATTCGTTTACATGGCATTTACTGGTCCTTCATTTACATGAGGTCACCCTTTTGTGCTCTATATACCACGCGTCAGTGTAAGGACAAATCCTGTGCCCAAAAAATATTCAAGTTCCGGAGACATGCTCTCTCGGCTGAACTTGTGTCCGGTTTCACCCCGGCGGACAAATAAACCTGTTCATTCCATCCTCTTTTCTCTGGACTTTCCGATACTTCGACAGCACAAAACTCTCCCTCTCGACCTGTAAGGAGCCGCGAGTGCAGACTGTGTGTGAAGGTCGCACAGATCAGAGGTCTGCGCAGCTTGAAGTAAAATGCAAACAAAACCATGCTCACAACTTATGGCCACTCACTCTAAAAGCTTGTACTTTTCGAGGGCGGAAGATATGAGTAGCATACTTTTTGAAAGAGTCCCTCTCAAGAGAAGCACGTGCAAAGTTCACTGTTTACAACTACAGTACATGTACGTACAAGTCCTGATAACTGAAAACAATGGATTGGGAAGGCTGCAGAGTGGCTATAACAGCGGCACACATGTTCATTCATCCTTGAGAGCAATAGTTCATTCAAAGGTCTACCAGTATGATGGATAGAAACGGAATACCGGTGCATGAAATGTACTGTACGCATGAAAATTTAGAGTCAGGGAACCAGATAAATTCAGCTGCGCCACGTACATGTACATGTGCTGGGTACAATGTACCGGCACCATACTCGTGAACACTCGAAGACATGTGCAGGATACGTGTACATGTCCAAGTACAGCTCAACTGCACATACATATGACTCCATTATTGTGCAGGTTGATTCCAAAGTACTGTACCGCTAGCTCCAATTTCGGGTCATTCCAAAAATTAGGGGTCCAAAAGTGTGACATTTTGGTGTCCCTGTTACATGTGACCTTGGTTATTTGACATGGAAATACAGAATTGATTTCAAACAATTACTATTTGCTTGGTAGGTACATTTCCATCAATTCATCACTCTTGGAAATTAGAAAATGTGTTCTGAACTTACAAAATCTACGGCAGATGTGCAGGGACACGAAAAAAAAAATGGACCCCCTAATTTCTGGAAATACCCTTTATTGTTTTACACGTTTCCAATACAATGATGTACAGTAAGTTTTGAAATTTTTGTAAACACGATACATGTACACAGACCACAATCCATGCCCCACATGCATATGCCACAGACACGCACATGTGTACATGCGTTTCATGTTTGTGCACAATGCCAAATCTGTTGCTGTCCATCGTCCATTCCATCAACACTGATTCGGTTGTCAAGGAGCAGTTCCGCTCGTGCACGACACTAATCATGCCCACTCCATTCCCTCCCCACTGGCTATTGACACAGGGAGAGTCTTCAGTAATTAACGGGTATCCATCAAGCTTCTGGATCCAGCCCAGCAGTTTAAAGCTACACGTACGGTAGCTTCTCACCGTGGGACCGGCTTTTCCCTCACAATTAAAAAACCCCCGCAAATTCTGCCCGTTTGTTACTTTGGACGTCAGTACGTGTACAATGGCATACGATATCTGTGCATTTATATAACTCCACTTACACTTGAGTATTTTTTTTTCATACAAAAAATGGCAATGCCTTCTAGCATGCAGTCAACAACTGCTAGGAACAGGCACACACCTTTATTGTGTACATCACAAAAATGTATCCGTTATCAATGGTTTATATTGTACGAGTGAGTATGTGCAAGTCGATGGCACTGATACATATGTGCATGCACATGTACATATCTGAACGTGCGCATCTGTCGGCTGATACAGGAAGCGCAGTCGGATGGTAAGGCTACAGGGATGGGTATGGAGGAAGTGGTGGGCGTGGATACCCGGTACATGTACGCTGTGTGCAGTAAGAGCTGGAGACGGAAGGCACACACAGGCCGGACTTCAGTTTCTTGGCTTCGCCATCTGGCATGTTGCACTGACGGTATGTACGTGCCTCGTAAATGTACATGTTCACAGCACCAGAACCGAAATTTTCTCCGAGTGCAATATACAGAATCCTTAGTTGCCGGGGTAACCCACGCGAGCGAGCCCAAACGGACCAGTTTTGATTCCTGCCACAAACTCACACACACACAAGAGTGTAT